CCCTGGGTAGAGTGCTGTGGCATCACGGCTCACAGCAACCTCAAACTCTTGGGCTCAAGTAATTCTCTTGCCTCAGCCTCCCAAGTGGCTGGGACTACAGGTGCCTGCCACAACACCTATTTATTTTTTGGTTGTAGTTGTTGTTGTTTGGTGGGCTTGTGCTGGATTCGAACCTGCCAGTTCTGGTGTATGTCTCTGGTAACCCCAGCCGCTTGAGCTACAGGTGCTGAGCTGTTGGGGTTTGCTTTATGAACTATCTTGATGAATGTTCTCTGTCCACTTAAAAAAATGTATATTTTCCTATTGTTTGGGGTATAGTGCTCTATAAATGCCAAGTGAATCAACTTTGTTGATAGTGTGGTTCAAGTCTTCTATCTCCTTATTTTATTTTTTGGCAGTTTTTGGCCGGGGCTGGGTTTGAACCTGCCACTGCTGGTATATGGGGCCAGGGCCCTACTCCTTTGAGCCACAGGCACTGCCCTCTCCTTATTGATTTTTGTCTACCTGTTAATCTTCTGCTTTAACATTGGATTTGTCTATTTTTCTTTCTTTTTTTTTTTTTGCGTTTTTTGGCTAGGGCTAGGTTTGAACCCACCACCTCCAGCATATGGGGCCAGTGCTTCTTTATAGTCACTGCCTGAGTTTTTCTAGTTTTGTTCCACATTTTTTATTTCTTTGCAACAGCTTTATTGAGATAAAGTCGCCCATTTAAAGTGTCGAATTTTATACATTTTCTATAATCCCTGCACCCTTTAGCTATCACCCCTACCCTAATCCTCCACAGGCATAGGAGGATATATATACTCTACTTTCTGTCTGTATGTACTTGTCTATTGTGAACATTTCATATAAATGGAATCATAAAATATGTAATCTTTTGTGATTAGCTCCTTTCAGTTAGCATATCTGTTTTGAAGGTTCCATGTTTTTTGAAGCTACTATTAGGCAAGTACGCACTTAGAACTATTTCTCCTTGATGAATTGACTTGGTTATCATTATAAAATACATTTTTTATCTTAGGCAATATTCCTTGTGAAGTTTACTTTGATGCTAATATAGCTATTCCATTTTTCTTACGATTTGTATCTGCATGCTGTATCTTTTCCCATTCTTCTTTTTTTTAAACCTATCTTATATGTTTATATTACTGTTCCATGTTGACAGCATGTAGTTGACTCTTGGCCTTTTTTTTTTTAAACCCAGTGACAATATCTTTAAATTGGAGTATTTAGACCATTTTATGTTTAATATAACTATCAGTAAATGTGGGTTTAAAATTTACCATCTTTTCTCCCATTGACCCCCTCCTATTCCTTATGGTCATTTTTAGCATTCCATTTTACTTCCACTGTTTGCTTAGTGGCTATAGCTCTGTTTCATTTATTTCTTTGCTCTGAACTTAACACATTCAAGAACCTTTCAATAATATACTTCCAATTATTGTGGGGGGGCCCCCCCCCCATTTCTGGCTTCTGTACTAACTGTTGTCATATATTTTACTTTATTTATGCTATAACCCCATAGTATGTTATTACTTTTGCTTTAAAAGATTATCCTAGACATTCAAAAAATGAGACTAGAATATCTTTCATACTTACTATTATGTGTACTCTGCCTTCTTTTCCATAGATCTTAATTTTCATCTAAGTATTATATTTCTTCAGCGTGAAGATATTCTTTTAATGTTCTTTGTTCTGGTTGTCTTCTGATGACAGAGTCTGTCAGCTTTTGTTTCTCCAAAAATGTTCTATGTCACATTTTTAAAGGATAGTTTTGGTCCGTAGAGAATTCTAGATTGACTGTTTCAATACTTTAAAAATATTGTCCGTTGTCTTCTGACTTAAGTGGTCTTTGATGAGAAGTCTGCAGTCATTCTTATCTTTCCTTAACTGTTTATAATGTAATATATGATTTTCAGATTTTTATCATGATTTTTAGAAATCTGGGTGTGATTTGCCTTGGTATGATTTTCTTTGTATTTATGTTGCTTGAAATTTCATTCCAAACTCCACATATTCAAGACCTCTTGAAATGTGTTTAATATATTCCTAATTAAGAATTTTAGAATTTTTTAGAATTATAATTAAAGACACAACTCCAGAGAACTCCAGCAGTTTATTTTATTGTTTGTCTAATGAATGTTTCTTAATTTATTAAGAGTTATTTACAAGTTTATGCATCAGTGCAGTTATATATGTCTTATATAGGAAGAAAATATTCCCTTTTCTCCATACTTCTGATTTTTATATATTTCCAACTTTAGTACTTATGTTTATGAAACATAGACCTTAATTTTTAAAAGAAACTATTTTCTTGGTTTGCATAATTTGCCCATTTAAATCATTTTAATTTTTCAAAATCTTGTGAAACACGATAGCTATAATACAATGAAATGAGCTGTTTTAAATCTGTGTTTTGGTTGAAACTCATAATGTCAAACCTTTGTTTAACTATGTAAAAGACTTGGTCTCAAGAAAAATGTAAAATGGTTTTCCAATTATGATTTTAATTTGTTTGTAAGATAGTACTTTGGTATTAAGTATAAAATATTTTTGCTTTGAATTCAATGAGGACTTACCAGAGTGAAACATTAATGGCAGATTCTTTTTTTCCTCATTTCCTTTCTTTAGGCCTGATCAACCCCGAATAACCAAAGATGTAATTTGTTTTCATGCTGAAGATTTTTTAGAAGTCGTTCAACGAATGCAATTAGATTTACATGAACCTCCGCTGTCCCAGGTATATTTTATACAGTTACTGTCTTTGGTTTGGTTTTTATTATGGAAAGACTTATTTTTTTTTCTTTTTCTTTTCTTTTTTTAGTGTGTCCAGTGGGTTGATGATGCAAAACTTAATCAACTGAGGAGGGAAGGCATTCGCTATGCCAGGATTCAGCTGTATGATAATGACATTTATTTTATTCCAAGGAATGTTGTTCATCAGTTCAAGACTGTTTCAGCTGTATGCAGTTTAGCGTGGCACGTTAGGCTCAAATTATATCACTCAGAAGAGGATACTTCCCAGAGTACTCATGAAACAGGAACATCACCAGATTTTGCATCATCAGTTCCTGGACCTCACACTGACACCACCATTTGTGCTGTAAGAAAATCCTCCTTGGATTCTGTTTTTTCAGACAAACTTCATTCTAAATATGAATTACAGCAGATTAAACATGAACCTACTACATCTGCAAGAATCAAGGAAGAACCTGTGAATGTTAATATTCCTGAAAAGACTAGAGCATCGAATAACATGGATGGCAAGAATGTGAGAACAAAATTGGATCATGTTCAATTTGCAGAATTTAAGATTAACACGGATTCTAAATTTGAAAATAACAAAGATTTAAGGGAAGAATTGCACTCTGGGAGTCTCATTAGTCTGGTTGATTCAAGGCAGCATAGTTCAGCACACTCAAATCAAGATAGAAAAGATGATGACATTTTGTGCTGAATTTGTACATACCATTTAAAATTCTTTTTTTAAAAAAATTTAATAATGTAATAAAGATTCATGAATTCTGAAAGCAAGCCAAGGACTTGCTCCCAAGTCTGTTACAAAATATAGTGTATGTAGCTTTGTAACATTCCTCAGTGCCTGTCCATAACTGTGAAGTATCAAGCACTTAGGGCCAGATGCACTGTAAACATTGCAGGTTTAAATTTAAAAAAAGTCTTTAAAAAATCATTTGAGTTGGAGTTATAGGTTTTAGAATAGAGCTGGCATTAACGTATATATATATATATATATTTTGTAATATGAGCCAGAATTCTCTTTTGACAATTTAAGGCTTTTCCATAGAGCTTATTTATACCATTTTTTTTTAATTTTAAATGTGTCAGCACTGTAGTGTAAATAGCTTTTTAAAAATCTTTTTAGTGTGATTTATACTGAAATGTGAGCCACTTAATAAAGGTTCATAATAATAAATATGTTTTCTGTTGGGTCTGCAAAGACAAACTGACGATTCATTTAAATCATTTGTCTGATATATTGATTCTTTCTGCCAGTATATCCATTTAGAGTGGTAATGGAGTGCAAATGTATGTTTCCCAATCTCATATATATTTAAATTCCCCACACTGTGCAGGCAATTTTAAAAACCAAGATTCAGTGAAGAAGCATATATATGTATGTGTGTGTATGAATGGAAATGTATATATGTATATCATATTTTGCATAATTTCCTTAAATTGCTAAATAAGATAAATATATGAAACTTCTTAGCTCTACTCCCTGGGATACATTTAAAAATATTTATGTTCAACATTAAGAAAGTGGTTTAGGTAATAAAAACAGTTTTAGAAAGTTGGGAGAAACAGACTATGTTAATGTTATCTAACCCTTCTAACTAATGAAGTTATGTGGCCAGATTACATAGTCTTAAATTTTCTTCGTATGGAATAAGAAATTTAGGAAAATTTCTTACTATGTAATAGTAGGTGAGTAAAAGGTCTTTAGTTACTGCAGACTTTATTGTGAGCAATTAAAACTCTTTTTTATAGTTTTCTTAGAGAATGAGAGAAGATATGGCATATATAAAATGATAAAATAAGGGCAATGACAATGACTCAATGGCTGTATTTAGGTATAACTAACAGGATACTATGTGGTACCTCATCTTTCTCAGGTTCTCCCTCCTACTCTAGCAAGGTAGACAACTTGGGGTACTTATTTTGTGAAAGAAGGTCTAGGAAAGAAAAAGAAGGTCTAGAAAGTAAATTGAGGTAAGAAACAGGATTACCAGGGCCTAACTAAAGACAACACAAGTCTCTTTAAAAGATGATGGACTCCAACACTCTTTTAGGCTACTTCCATTATTGTAATTAAAAGTCAAACAAAAGTGTTTGGTGTATCCATTGTTATAAGGAATTTTGCTTATTGCAAATCTGTTTTATTTGTTTTTGGCATTATTCTGGGCCATGCTTTGGTTGATGACTTTCAACTGGGGTTTTCTGTGATGCGTTTGGGCTGTAACTATTTCCTTTTCAGTAGTTTCTGTTCTGGACTTATTTGTGATACCTATCAAAACTGCTCCTATTTCTGCTTGGGGGAACCCATTTAAAAAGAAGTTTTTCACTAAAACAAATAAAAATCAATTACAGTAATGGTATTTGTACTAACAGGCAGATATTGTAGGAAATCTTGATGGTTTGTAGGAAATCAGTGTATACAGCATAGGAATTTTCATGGGATATGTATAATTATGATAAATAGGGATTTTTGATTTATATGTCACTGTTTTATCCTGCTTTCCACCTATTTAATCTTTTGTCTAGATTTATGGATTTGCACCTATCTTTTTGGGAGACAAAAGTTCTTAACAAACCAGTATTGAGAAAGAGGAAGAGATGTAGTTAAAATGTTTTTGTTTGTTTCTTTCTTAATTGAAAGTTAATATATTTAACAAGATGTATTTTATTTTCAATTTTCCAGTAGCATATACGTAGATGCATATCGTAAGAAAATATCTTTAGGGTATCCCTCCAAAATACATGAGCCTTAAACTTTTTATCTTAATGGAAGGCATATCTACAACCACCATAGTGGTTGCTTTTAAGTATAGTTCTTACATAATCCTTGGTCAAACTTATCCATAATTGAAAATTTAATTATTTTATAAAATGCATACATCTCTGTGGAGGTATAGTATAAATCAATGGGCTTAAGATTTCAAGAATCAACTTTGCTACCACCTTTATTCATGTGTGTTCTTTGTCTACGGGTTATAATTTTAAAATCCTCCTCAATGGAATCTGAGTTGACTACCTTTATTACACACAAAAATTTTCTATTTTAACATTGCATTATTTTGGTGGTTTTTTTAGTTAGTACATTCCAATTCTTTACCTGAATACAAGTTTTTTGCTTTTATTTCCAATTTCTTGGACCAGAACAATAACTCACTTAAGATAGTTTCTATATGGTCATGGACTTGTATAGAATAAATAATTGTTAGGTAAATCATCAAATGGTTAGCCAGGCGTCCTCAAACTACAGCCTACAGGCCACATGCAGCCTGCCTAGGACATTTATCTGGCCTGCTGGGTGTTTTTGCTGCCGCTGCCTGTCCTGCTTAACAGCCAACTCGTCCCGGGGCCTGCAGTCCAGCCCTCCAACAGTCTGAGGGACAGTGAACTGGCCCCCTGTTTAAAAAGTTTGAGGACCCCTGCATACAGACCTTTGCATAAAATTTAAGGTATGTCGGTGGTGTCTGCTATAGTGCTTACTCCCACTCCTAATTTTGTTTATACCCTCTTACCTATCTAAGAAATACATATTCTGACTCAGGTTAGCTAGCAAAAGAATTAAGCATTTGTGATACTTAGGTGCAAACTTTACGGAAGCCATATTCCTTACCTTCTTTGTCACCAAGGCTGTTGACCTTAAGGATTAGATTAGGTTGATCTAGCACAACACTGTGTATATATGTGTGTGTGCACGCATGTGGCACACACCAGCATATTTGTGTGTTTTTTAATCCATTCTGTAACTTTGAGGGGGTTGCATTGTGGTAGGGAAAATTTTATTTTTTAGGTTAAGTCTTTAAGGTATTTCATAAATGTTCCTGGGTGTAAAAGTTTTTTTTCCTCAAATACTCATGGCAGGCAAGAACATTTTTGTAAATATTAAACTAGCACCATTTGGGGAAATTTGCTTTCATTTATTTTTTTGGACAAGTTCATTGTCACTGTATAGCAAAAATCTCAACATTTCATTTTACATTTAGCAAAGGGGCAAGATTTGTTTTTGGAGTTCGAGAGATATTTTCTTTGTCTTCCATCTTTCAATAAATACTAAAATGATAATGATACTCTTTTTATGTTTGTTTTGTAATTATTTTCCTAAATTTGACATTTTAATTTTGCCACCTTTAAAATTTCTTAATTTTCTGTCTTCAACAGAAACCTTCAAATCTTAAAGTGATTCCAATCTAAAAAATCTTTCTTTCCTCTTCAAAACTAATTTAAAAATTGACTTACATCAACGGAGAATACTGAGGATTATATAAACTAGATAGGTATGAATGCTAAGAATGGCAAGGTGAATATCTTCCCCGTTTTCCCTAGGCATGACTGTTTCTGTCTCAGGAAGGGAGGACAGAAGTGCCATTCTTTTCAAAATAGTTTAGGTTGCTAAAAAGTAACATAAAAGGTTCCAGGTCTTCAGAGTGGTAGAAGAGCTTTTACTCTTTCCTACCTGATATAACTACTACTTTGGTATGTAAACAAAATTTTACTGGTTCTAGAAAGCGTTGTCTATTTTATGAAAGAGTTATGTTTGTTATGTTTGGCACTGACAGTATACTTCAGGTAAGATAAGTAAGAGGACAACTCAGGAGAAAGCTGTAATTCCTTTTATCTTTTGTCCTAACATTTCTGTTGAGTTCTTTCTGTAATCCACTACATACTGCAGTTGGAAATAATTGCTTTTTAGAATATCAAGCACACAGAGCCTAAAAGCAGAGGTGTCTTTCCCTTGTAAATTCTGGATTTGTATATCATATCTTTGTTTGGAGAGCAGAGAGAGGAGGGGAAACATCTTGCATTTCAGTTTATCTTCCCTTCCAGCTCTTTCTGGACTCAGGGAATATGACTGAGCTGACAACAAAATATGGACAGGAAAAACTGAACCATAAATTAAAAGCAAAATTTATTACTTGCATGTTTAATTACTATGATCTGCCTACCAGGAACTATACTGTTAAAATAAGAGAACTCCTGATCCTTGTATACATTTTGAAATTTAGAATTTATGCATCTATGTTTTTAAATGTTTTATCTGACTCTGGGAGGCCAAGGTCAGTGGATTGCCTAAGCTCATGAGTTCGAGACCAGCCTGAGCCAGAGTAATAGCGGGCGTTGTGGCAGGCGCATATAGTCCCAGCTATTTGGGAGGCTGAGGCAAAAGAATCACTTTAAACCCAAGAGTTTGAAGTTGCTGTGAGCTGTGACACCATCGCATTTTACCAAGGGCGACAAAGTGAGACTGTCTCCAAAAAAAAAAAAAGTTTTATCTGCGCTTTCCTATAAAGTTCACTGCTGTTATGCTATTTAAGACTTTTATAAACCAGTGATTTTCAACCAGTGTGTTGTGAGAGGTTCTTAGGTGTGCCTTGAAAAATTTTAAAGATCATTAATTAAATTATTACCAAAAGAAATTAAAAGTACAGTATTTTTTTTTACTCTTTTTTTCATCAACATAATGTAAGTGTTCCACGGAATTTATAGGTTCAAATATGCCATGAGATAAAAACGTTGAAAAACAACTGCTATAAAGTGTGCTGAAAGGCAAGTCAGTATTTAATCACAAATACTTTACTACAGTTTTGAAAAGTTTCATGCCTCCTCTCCCCCAACACAAAATTTCTTCTTCTTTTTTTTCTTTTTTTTTGAGATAGAGCCTGTGCCCTGGGTAGAGCACATCACAGCTCACAGAAACCTCAAGCTCTTGGGCTCAAGAGATCCTCTTGCCTCTGCCTCCTGAGACTACGGGCAGCTGCCCTGATACTGGCTAATTTTTCTATTTTTAATAGAGATGGGGTCTCATTCTTGCTCAGGCTGGTCTGGTCTTAGACTGCTGAGCTCAAGCGGTCTACTGCACAGACTCCCAGAGTGCTATGATTACAGGCATAAGCCACTGTGCCAGCCCTACAAAACTTCTACTGTTCTTGAAATTGTATTTATTTTTTTAACTGAGTTAGATTTTTACATGAAACTTCTCAAATCCGTTGTCTTTAAACTTTTTTTTATTCATGGCTGGCTGTGCTCGCTCATGCCTATAATCAATCCTAGCACTCTGGGAGGCCAAGACCGGAAGATCACTTGAGACCAGCCTAAGCAAGAGGGAGACCTTTGCTCTGATAAAAATAGAAAAATTATCTGGCATTGTCGCAGACACCTGTAGCTCCAGCATGGGAGGCTGAGACAGGAGATCACTAGAACCCAGGAGTTTGAATT